AAAAAAAGAGTATCAATTTATAATTTTATTTCTTAAGAGATGCTCAATGGTTAAAATTTTAAATTTATACATTAAAGATGTCAAATTTAGATTTTTAATGGGTGAAAATGGGTTTGAAAAAAGAAGTGATCTTTTTTATTATATAATTTATTATTTGATATATAAAAAAATTAATTCATAATTTTTAAAAGAATATAATTAATTTTGATACCTAAAAATATATTGTATAAACTTATTTCAATATGTTAAATAATATATATTAATTATTTTATTAATTATTAAGTTAACTGATAAGATATAATTTAAAACTATGTGGCCATGGTTACACTGATAAGATATGAATTAAAACTGTGTGGCCATATACAGCGCTCAACTTCCTTTCTTTTCTCAATAATTTCATTTCATCCACCATTCAACGTGCATTCTTTGGTACCGACTCCATAACATGATTGATTGTGCATGAACAGAATCTCAGCAAATAGGAATAATCAATTTTGCAACAGAAAGAGAAAGAGGTGAAGCAGAAAATTATATTAGGTGAATAGTACATTCCATTCATTTCCACAGTTACAAACTTATACCCAGCTTCTTCCAAAGAGATATTCTCTTTATATGTACATCACCCCCAACTCAAAAACAAACGAAAAGACAAACGTGTTACACCCTATCTAGTCTCCCTTCTCTTATCTCCCCTCAAATATATTCTTTTGCCTTTTCACCAGTTTTTATTCATTTACACAATGTAAGAGTAAGACAGAAACATAGCAACAGCCCAAAAACCCTCATATCACCATCCTATCCCTCTACAAAATGTAATTTTGAAAAAGTATAGGGAAAAGAGCACCAGTAGAACAAGTTTAAGATGATTTCCCTACTACCAAATATTACCGTGGCTTTGGTTGCGATCCAAATGGCCATAATGGTTGGACAAGTCTCTGAGCTGATGGACTACCAAGTAACATAGCCTGAGATCGAGTAAGCATCTCAACCATTGAAGGGGTTTGATAAGCTTGAACCAGACTTGAACCATCTGTAGAGTCACCTCTTGCTGTGGCTCTTTGCCATGAATGCGAGCTTAGTCCTGAAAGGATATATGCTCTCCCAGATGCCTCATAGACATGCCTGCTTGCCATCCTTTCTTGCATTTCTTTGAGCTCAGCATCCAATGCAAGACAGAGACGGTCACCAGATTTGGCTGAAACAGTCTCTGACAATAACCGCCTAAAGTTTTCAAGAATAGAAACAGCACCAGCCAAATCTCCCTGCTCAGCAGTGGTTCTTGCCTCTGCTATTGCATCCGCAGCTTGGAACCTGTTGCGTTGCCTGTCCACCTCTATTGACACTATTTCCTTCCCAATTATTTCAGGTCTTTGTATCCTAACCACATTACTCTCCATTGTTGCCATTTCTTTAGTTAAGGAATCCTTGTAAATACATTTCACTTTCAGCAATGATGTTTCACTTTTGGAAGACTCCGCTGGGACATTGATTGATACCAGGAAATCCCTCTCTTCATCAGCATACAGATCTCCAACATCAATAAATCCAGCATGTCCATCAACTGTCACACGACTTGGATAGCTACCTGCTTTTAGTGAACCAAGGTGGATATTTGAGTCTGTGCACTCTAATACCACCTGCAGATCCTGAACCACAACACTCAAAAGACCACCAATGCATTGGGCAAAAGCATCCTGCATCACAGCTTCAGTTTCGATGAAAGAAAAAGTGCCTCCTGAAATCTCTGATATTGAATGCATTGAAGAAGCATCATGATCAGTGCCAAAACCAAAAGTATGCACTGGAATCTGGAATCCTGTATTGCCAGCCCCCTGAATGGAAAAAGGGAGGAGTGACTTGTAATTTTGTTGAGTTTGATTAGAAGCAGAACCAGAACCAGTGACAGTATAAGTATCCTGCCCGTCTGACAAAAGTATTATACTGGAAACTGGATTCTTTTCCCTCCGTTCCTCCATTACTTTGGCACCTTTCCTAAGGCCTTCAGCAATATTAGTTCCACCGCTTGCAACCAATGAGTTAACAGCTTGAAGTGCTTGTTGCCGCCCTGTATCAGACATGCGACATAAAGGAAAGATTCGGCGGGCTGTAGAAGAGAAAGCGATGACTGAAAGCCTATCATTAGAGCCAAGATTTTGTATTACGAACCCCATTGCTCGTTTTAGTAATGCAAGCTTGGTGCCTGCCATGCTACCACTGATGTCAAGCACTGTAACCAAGTCAACTGGTGCACGAGAAGCCTTAGAAAGTTGTGGCAAGGGAATTTGGTTTCTGCTGGGATTTTGTCTTGCAACTGATGCAGCAGCTTTAAGATGGACCAAAACAGTGAAATTATCATAAGAATAGGACCATGGTGCAGCTGAAACCTCGGGGTATGTTTTGATCTCTATTGTTCTAACAGAACAGTTATCTGAGCCATCCTTACCCTCAGCAATTACAGGTTGATGATCTAACAATTCATCATCATCGAACACGCCAGGCTCAGGAGCCTGACATAGAGGCACAATGTGCCGACGATTTAAATCTCTATGATGAGGAGGTAATCGGCGGACCACAGCCATCAAAGCATCATTTTGAGGCCAAAAAATTGGGCTCATCAATGCCCTTTCAGACGGTGCAACAGAACCGGGGCTTTGCATGGGGATTTCTTTCCATTTTGCTCTGCAAACTGGACAGATTGGATTACCATGTTTTACGTTGGAAGCAATGCAATGGAAGTGGAAAGAATGTGAGCACTCTGCAGTGAAGATAGCATGGCCACCTCCTTGTTTCATCTTAGTCAAACATATGGAGCACATTTGCTGAAATAAATATGGAAATAAAAAGGCATAAATAAGGATGAATGAGCATGAAATTTTTTTCTCAAGAACAGTATTGCAATAAATTCAGTACAAAACATCAATGCAGAGGGTCATAAGGCGGATGACTGGACGTGTTGGATAGACCAAAATATTATAAAAAAAAAAAGCTGAGACAAAAAGGCGGGGGAAAAAGAAGAAAAAAAAAAAAGGAAGAAAAAACAGCCATTAATCAGCCTAGTGACCTAGAAAGGAAGTCAATGCTAGGTGTGCCACAAATAAAGGGTACTTTAATTTTCTTTTAATTTTCTGAAATTTGTCTTCCTGACCAAAAAAAATAAATAAATAAAGGGAAAATAGGAAACAAAGCCAAAAATCAAGAGTCACTTTAGAAATGTTACAAGCAACTATAAGCAAATCTTTCAGAAGATGGATAAAATATATTGAAATCCATCAATGAGAAAAAGAGAAATCATAGTTTTCTTTTAGATATGTTTATTTTCCTTGCTTTTACTTCTTTGATGAAACTAACAGCTAGAAAGCTTTCAATTTAACAGTCAACATATGAGGCTTTCACATAAGGCTGCTTTTCTCCCCTCAAAGGAAATAAGGGAAGGGAAAGTTACACTGTAGTCTTCTTTTACTAGTAAGGCAATAGAAAATGGTCCTAAAGGTGACTCATGCATTAACCCCACCAGGCCAAAGAGGAGAAAACTCCAGAGAAGAAGTGGATCACCAATACCATGCATTCCTCAGCAAGTAAATGCTAAAAGATGATTAGGGTGATGAGACCACAAAACTATCTTAATTAGTACATTTGACCCCTTTTTTTCTTATCTATATGGTTGCAGCTTAAAATTGTAAACAAATCTCGATTTAAAAGGTTTATGCAAACCCAAACAGGTCAAGAGAACAAATGACTTACAAAGCACATGCAATTTCATCGGTAGCCTGTTGAAAAACAAAATATTATACCAAGAAGTTTAATACAAGTACAACAACTTTAGAAACTGCATCAAGATAATATAGAGGAAAAAAAAAAAGTTTTGAGGCTAGATTTTCTTTTCTTCCTAACACCAAGGGTAGATCTCTAGCTAATAAAAACGCACAATCACGGTGTAAATTTTCATTCTGTCAGTAAGGTGCGGAAACCCAATATTAATGATTTCTGTCATTTTCATATTGAATGAACAGAGGACAACTAAAAAATATCAACTCTTCAAACCAATTAAAATCCACTGATAACAATTAGAAAAAGAAACAAACATTCTCCACAGCGTAGCTGGCATTCTCCACAGCGTAGCTGGAGTAGGTGGCAAGGCCACCTCCTCCCTATGGAACAACAATCTACAGCTATGGAGCTGGCTTTAGCTTTTCCGATTTCTAAAGAGAACACTAATAAATCCCTAAAATCCAAGTCCCTTTCTCTTTCCCACTCAGAGCACAGCTCAAACTCCCATACTCCAAAGGACGCATTAACCACGAGAGATTGAAAAGGAAAATGAAAATTGAAAGCTCAATACTTATCCAATCCCAGAACAAAATTTTCATCAATTAATCCAAGCATCCGGAATCACCGAAACCCACAAAACATAAAAGATGGAATAAGTTTCCCTTTCTCACCTGTTTCTCAGAAACACAAGAAGATGCAACTTAAAACCACTAAAACCCAAAAATACGAATCCAAAAGAAATACCCAGAAGTAGATTTCATTTACCAAGTGGCACAGAAGCAAATACTATAAAAACACATCAAAAAATGAAGAGAAAAAACTAAGAAAACATTGAAAAGCAGACAGCTTTAGAAAGGAAAACACAAACCTTAGACGATTTGGTTCCACTTTTGGAGAACCTCAAACCGTGAGAAGACGGGGTGGGAGTCATAGGCCGAGAAGGAGTAGTCATGTCCCAGTTGCCAGGTGACAACAAAGCAACATCAGATAGCCTCTCGGAGGAGTCGATTGAGGGAAGCGGATCTTCTAGAGTTCTTGGCATGTAGACACAGAGATTCAAACCCAAAGCCAGCTTTGCCTTTCTCCATTTGCTACCCATTTTCAGAAACACTACCAACCAAAAAAACCAGAACCAAAAGTGTAGCTAAATATACACTATCCCAGAACGAAATCAAGAAAAGAAGTGAAAATCTGGGTCTTTGAAGCGATTCTAGCGTCAAGCCACTTTCTTCTTTCTTAGTCTTTTCTGGGTATTTGTGGATTTCTTTGGAATGAGAGAGGTAATGGTCTTTAAGAAAAGCAGAAACGCACACGAAACCCAAG